TATATATATATATACACACACACTACCGGTCAAAAGTTTGGGATCAGTAAGACTTGTAATGTTTTTTAAAGAAGTCTCTTATGCTCATTAAGGCTGCATTTATTTGATAAAAAATACAGAAAAAAAACAGTAATCTTGCAAAATGTATATAAAATATAAAATAATGGTTTCTATTTTAATATCCTTTAAAATATAATGTATTTCTGTGATGCAAAGTCCATCAGCCTCTAACAGGCCAAGGAAACACTGAAATCATGGGTCAATACTGCCATCTACAGGACTTAATGGTAAACGTGCTTGTTGCTACAGCATTTTTGACAAAGTCAAAATAGATTTTAAAGGCTCCTGTTGGAAAAGAATGATCAGTGCATGTAACTTAAAAAAAAAATTATAATAATAATAATGCATTAATTTAATAGAAATTCTGTTAATATTATCATATAATTATGAAATTTAACAATTATTAAAATAAGTTAAATAAGTTAAATTATAGCTTTTTCTAACAACATAAATCTTTGCTATCACTTCTTAACGATTTAACACATCCTTGCTGAATAAGTTTTAATTACTTTCAAAAAAAAAGAAAGAATAAAAATTTACTGACCCCAAACTTTTGAACTGTAGTGTATATTTTTAGAAAAGATTTCTATTTTAAATAAATGCTCTTCTTTTTAACTTTTTATTCATCAAGAATCCTGAAAAAAGTATCACAGATTCCAAAAAATATTAGATCCTCTGCAGCAAAACAGTGTGCAACATTGATAATAAGTCAGTATATTAGAATGATTTCTGCAGGATCATGTGACACTGAAGACTGGATAAATGGCTGATGAAAATTCAGGCTTTGCATCACAAGAATAAATTATATTTTAAATATATTAAAATATAAAACCATTATTTTAAATTACAATAATATTTCACAATATTACTTTTTTCTGTATTTTTGATCAAATAAATGCAGCCTTGATGAGCATAAGAAACGAGTAATGATGCTGAAAATTCAGCTTTGCATCACAGGAATAAATTAGATTTTAATGTATATTAAAATAGAAAAACGTTATTTTACACTATAATAATATTTCACAATATTACATTTTTTACTGTATTTTTGATCAAATAAATGCAGCCTTGATGAGCATAAGAAACTCCTGTAAAAAACATTAAAAATCTTTCTGATCCCAAACTTTTGACCGGTAGAGTGTGTGTGTGTGTGTGTGTGTGTGTGTGTGTGTATATATATATATATATACACATACTTAAGATTTTTCTTAAACTAGTGACAAAAAAAAATTGCTGGGTTCAGGAGGTTTTTGGTTATAGCATTTAGGAGGTTATGACTGGTTTCTATGCTTAGAGATATGTGATGTCTGGCACATATGCTCTGATACAAGTGCCATCCATACAAATGTACAATATGTATACATATTCTAAGGAATTTTCAGTACTGCAAAAATTATATTAATCTATTAGTTATTTAAAATCTACTGACCAAATATTTTGAACATTCATAATTTCTTTTCTTTCTCTTTCTTTTTCAGATATAAAAATGTTTTTTTTATATCTTTTTTATCAGTTGCATGTGTATTGTGCTGCATGCCACTCAAAGTGAATTACAGTATACTGATTGCAAAGTCAGTCCCACTGGAGGGAGTTGGGGTGTCGTCCACATAGGCTCAAAGGTGATAGAAGGCTTTCAGTTATATTTACAGCAAGGTTATCTCTAGCTGAACATGAACCTACCAAAAGCCCAGATCTCTCACATTACTAAGAATAATTATTCATAAAAAAAAAAATTCCACTTAAACACCACTTTTTTTTTATTATTATTATTAAAACTTTTATTTGTGTAATACAATGTTCTGGTAATCTAACAGGCCAAGGAAACACTGAAATCATGGGTCAATACTGCCATCTACAGGACTTAATGGTAAACGTGCTTGTTGCTACAGCATTTTTGACAAAGTCAAAATAGATTTTAAAGGCTCCTGTTGGAAAAGAATGATCAGTGCATGTAACTTAATAAAAATAAAAAATAATAATAATAATAATGCATTAATTTAATAGCAATTCTGTTAATATTATCATATAATTATGAAATTTAACAATTATTGAAATAAGTTAAATTATAGCTTTTTCCTTTCTAAAACCATGTACGAGGTCTTCCCTTCTCAACTGCCTGATTGTTAATTAAACTGACCTCTCTGAAAACATCAGCAGGGATAAATGTCCTCCACACATGATTATCACCACCGTTACAGAATGACTCTACAAATTAGGGCAGGTCACCACTGCAGCCTCCATTACATTTGCTGCCTCTCTATTGGTGCCTAAGGGCTCCTTGGGTAACTTTGCCAATTAGTGTCATCATACTCATGACAGGATGCAGAGGCTTTGTGACATGGACCTCCAGTTTGACTGGTGTCCTCATTTCCCAGACCCTTTCCCCTCCTCCCTCTCCCTCCCGCAGCTGACACATCGCCATGATAACAGTACTAATGAGCCCTGG